TACAGGAACACAGAGAGAACTACAGGAAAACTACAGAGATAAGACTGGCAGAACTACAGGAACACATAGAGAACTATCATGAAACAAGAGAGATACTACAAGAACACAGAAGAGAACTACAGGAACCACATAGAGAACTACATGAATCACAGGAGGAGAACTACAGGCAACACAGAGAGAACTACATGAACACATAGAGCTACTACAGGAAACACAAGAGAGAATACAGGGCACATCAGACGAGAACTACAGGAACCACAGAGAGAACTACATGAATACCACAGGAGAACCTTACAGGAAACACAGAGAGAACTAATCGAACACATAGAGAACTACAGGAGACATAGAGAACTACAGGAAACCGGAGAGAACACAGTAACACTAGAGATACAGACAAGGAGAGAACTTCACAGGAACAAATAGGCGAACTTACAGGCAACACAGAGAGAACTACAGGAACACATAGAGAGAACTACCAAGGAACAGACAGAGAGAACTACAGGAACACAGTAGGAGAACTACATGAACCTACAGATGAGAACTACAGGAACACATAGAGAACTACAGGAACACAGAGAGAACTACATGAACACAGAGGAGGAACTACAGAGAACACAGAGAGGAACTACAGGAACATCATAGAGGAACTACAGGAACACAGGAGAGAACCCTACAGGCACCAACATAGAGAACTACAGGAAACACAGAGAAGAACTACATGAACTACAGAGACGAACTATCGTGAACACACAGAGAACTACAGGAGACACAGAGAACTACAGGAGACACAGAGAACTACAGGAAACCATAGAGAACTACAGGAGACATAGAGAACTACAGGAGACACAGAGAGAACTACAGGAGACACAGAGAACTACAGGAGACACCATAGAGAACTACAGGAGACATAGAGAACTACAGGAGACACAGAGAACTACAGGAGACACAGAGAACTACAGGAGACACAGAAGAGACTACAGGAACACAGAGAGGAACTACCGGACCACAGAGAGAACTACAGGAGACATAGAGAACTAAGAATACACGAGAGTAACACAGGAACACAGAGAGAACTACAGGAACACAGAGAGAACTACATGAATACAGAGAGAACTACAGGAACACAGAGAGAACTACATGAACACAGAGAGAACTACAAGAACACAGAGAGAACTACAGGAACTCATAGAGAACTACAGGAACACAGAGAGAACTACAGGAACACAGAGAGAACTACAGGAACACAGAGAGAACTACATGAATACAGAGAGAACTACAGGAACACAGAGAGAACTACATGAACACAGAGAGAACTACAGGAACACAGAGAGAACTACAGGAACACCGAGAGAACTACAGGAACACATAGAGAACTACAGGAACGCAGAGAGAACTACAGGAACACAGAGAGAACTACAGGAACACATAGAGAACTACAGGAACACAGAGAGAACTACAGGAAACACAGAGAGAACTACAGAACACAGAGAGAACTACAGGAACACATAGAGAACTACAGGAGACATAGAGAACTACAGGAGACACATAGAGAACTACAGGAACACAGAGAGAACTACAGGAAACACAGAGAGAACTACAGGAACACATAGAGAACTACAGGAACACAGAGAACTACATGAACACAGAGAGAACTACAGGAAACACAGAGAACTACAGGAACACATAGAGAACTACAGGAACACAGAGAACTACAGAACACAGAGAGAACTACAGGAACACAGAGAGAACTACAGGAACACAGAGAGAACTACAGGAACACATAGAGAACTACAGGAACACAGAGAGAACTACAGGAACACAGAGAGAACTACAGGAACACAGAGAGAACTACAGGAACACAGAGAGAACTACAGGAACACATAGAGAACTACAGGAGACACAGAGAACTACAGGAGACACAGAGAACTACAGGAGACATAGAGAACTACAGGAAAACATAGAGAACTACAGGAGACACATAGAGAACTACAGGAGACACAGAGAGAAACTACAGGAACACACAGAGAACTACAGGAACACAGAGAGAACTACATGAAACAGAGAGAACTACAGGAACACAGAGAGAACTACAGGAACGCATAGAGAACTACAGGAACGCAGAGAGAACTACAGGAACACATAGAGAACTACAGGAACACAGAGAGAACTACAGGAACACAGAGAGAACTACAGGAACACAGAGAGAACTACAGGAACACATAGAGAACTACAGGAACACAGAGAGAACTACAGGAACACATAGAGAACTACAGGAACACAGAGAGAACTACAGGAACACAGAGAGAACTACAGGAACACATAGAAAACTTCAGGAACACAGAGAGAACTACAGGAACACATAGAGAACTACAGGAACACATAGAGAACTACAGGAACACAGAGAGAACTACAGGAACACAGAGAGAACTACAGGAACACAGAGAGAACTACAGGAACACAGAGAGAACTACAGGAACGCAGAGAGAACTACAGGAACACAGAGAGAACTACAGGAACACAGAGAGAACTACAGGAACACAGAGAGAACTACAGGAACGCAGAGAGCACTACAGGAACACATAGAGAACTACAGGAACACAGAGAGAACTACAGGAACACATAGAGAACTACAGGAACACATAGAGAACTACAGGAACGCAGAGAGAACTACAGGAACACAGAGAGAACTACAGGAACACATAGAGAACTACAGGAACGCAGAGAGAACTACAGGAACACAGAGAGAACTACAGGAACGCAGAGAGAACTACATGAACACATAGAGAACTACAGGAACACAGAGAGAACTACATGAACACAGAGAGAACTACAGGAACACAGAGAGAACTACAGGAACACAGAGAGAACTACAGGAACACAGAGAGAACTACATGAACACATAGAGAACTACAGGAACACATAGAGAACTACAGGAACGCAGAGAGAACTACAGGAACACAGAGAGAACTACAGGAACACAGAGAGAACTACAGGAACACATAGAGAACTACATGAACACATAGAGAACTACAGGAACACATAGAGAACTACAGGAACACATAGAGAACTACATGAACACATAAAGAACTACAGGAACACAGAGAGAACTACATGAACACATAGAGAACTACAGGAACACAGAGAGAACTACAGGAACACAGAGAGAACTACATGAACACAGAGAGAACTACAGGAACACATAGATAATTACAGGAACGCAGAGAGAACTACAGGAACACAGAGAGAACTACAGGAACACAGAGAGAACTACAGGAACACAGAGAGAACTACAGGAACACATAGAGAACTACAGGAACGCAGAGAGAACTACAGGAACGCAGAGAGAACTACATGAACACATAGAGAACTACAGGAACGCAGAGAGAACTACAGGAACGCATAGAGAACTACAGGAACACAGAGAGAACTACAGGAACGCAGAGAGAACTACAGGAACACATAGACACATATATAATTCACTGTAGTTTATTATTATTAATGTTTTATTGTTAATATTAATGTGTTGATGTTGTTGTTGTTATTATTATGAATGTGTTGTTGTTATTATAATGTGTTGTTGTTGTTATTAAAGTGTTGTTGTTGTTGTTTACCTGTCTCCCTGCAGATGTGGATGAGTGCGTTGCTGCTGACGAGGATCTCCTCTGCGATCATTTCTGTCACAACTTCATCGGGGGGTTCTACTGCTCCTGTCGCTACGGTTACCAGCTGCATGCCGACAACCGCACCTGCACAGGTGAGACCAACCTGAGACTCACCTGAGACCAACCTGAGACTCAGGTGAGTCTCAGGTGAGTCTCAGGTCTGAGTCTGAGACTTACTCTTTAGTGTCCCCTGGTCTCCAGCTGTGTGCGTCACTCTTTAGTGTCCCCTGGTCTCCAGCTGTGTGCGTCACTCTTTAGTGTCCCCTGGTCTCCAGCTGTGTGCGTCACTCTTTAGTGTCCCCTGGTCTCCAGCTGTGTGCGTCACTCTTTAGTGTCCCCTGGTCTCCAGCTGTGTGCGTCACTCTTTAGTGTCCCCTGGTCTCCAGCTGTGTGCGTCACTCTTTAGTGTCCCCTGGTCTCCCAGCTGTGTACGTCACTCTTTAGTGTCCCCTGGTCTCCCAGCTGTGTGCGTCACTCTTTAGTGTCCCCTGGTCTCCAGCTGTGTGCGTCACTCTTTAGTGTCCCCTGGTCTCCCAGCTGTGTGCGTCACTCTTTAGTGTCCCCTGGTCTCCCAGCTGTGTGCGTCACTCTTTAGTGTCCCCTGGTCTCCAGCTGTGTGTGTCACTCTTTAGTGTCCCCTGGTCACCCAGCTGTGTGCGTCACTCTTTAGTGTCCCCTGGTCTCCCAGCTGTGTGCATCACTCTGTAGCAGTGACGTGCGGTGAGGTTCATGGCTGGTGAGGCACTGACTCTTTCAGAGTCAGATTTACAAATATTATATTCTGACCTTAATCGAAATATTCTGTTATTTTCAAAAGCTTTTTTGGTCTGATGTTTCGATTCATTTTAAACAGACCGTTCAACAAAAGGATACCCACAATCTAAATATTGGATTGTTCTTTCTTAGTAAGATCCAATTTTCATTACCAATGTGGTCTTACCTTGACTTGAAGATGAAGTCCATGCTATCCTTCTGGACAACAATCTCTATTACTGTTTTGTAAAAGTCCTCCTTATCTTCCTCTAGTTTCAAAAGTCTAGTTTGTTGTTCGCGTCTATACCGTCTCTGCGTAGAATAACAGTAGCAACAAGGACCTGTGGGCTCACGTGCGCCCCCTTCAGTGCGGCAGAGGTTATGGCTGCCTCCCCTGGTGCTTTTTTCATTGCCGTTGTACGGCGAGCCTAAATATCATATATACGTGAAATAAGTTATTTAGAGACTATGGATGGCGAGGATAAATGTAATAAAGGGATCTACAAACATTACATTGGTGACCTACAGTGAGATGGTGCAGGCATGCGCTTAGGGCCCGCTTTCCAGACAGTTTATGTGAGGTGACGCATTCTGAGGTGAGGCAGAGCTCATCTGTGCCTCACCTCACCACACAGTAACTGGCTTGAGAGCGCTCACAAAATAAGTGCCCACGCTAAATTAGTGCCCGCGCTCCAGCCAGTTACTGTGGGCTTACGTGAGGCAGAGCTCGTCCCTGCCTCACTCCTCATCGCTCCCATGTAGTTATAGCGGAGCTCGGCAAATTTGCTGATTTTGACTATAAAAAGCGATTGGAATCAAACAGAAATCAGACTTACAACACAGATCAGTGAAGACATTTTATTATTATTACTATTTAGTTTTTCTTTGTTGTTTTTCCGTTACATTGTAGTATGGCCAGTCTATGAGTATGACAGGTGAGGCTCTGCCTCCCCTGCCTCCCCTGACTGCACATCGCTGCTCTGTAGTGTCCCCTTGTCTCCAGCTGTGTGCGTCACTCTTTAGTGTCCCCTGGTCTCCCGGCTGTGTGCGTCACTCTGTAATGTCCCCTGGTCTCCCGGCTGTGTGCGTCACTCTTTAGTGTCCCCTGGTCTCCCGGCTGTGTGCGTCACTCTTTAGTGTCCCCTGGTCTCCCAGCTGTGTGCGTCACTCTTTAGTGTCCCCTGGTCTCCAGCTGTGTGCGTCACTCTTTAGTGTCCCCTGGTCTCCCGGCTGTGTGCGTCACTCTGTAGTGTCCCCTGGTCTCCCGGCTGTGTGCGTCACTCTTTAGTGTCCCCTGGTCTCCCGGCTGTGTGTCCCCTGGTCTCCCGGCTGTGTGTGTCACTCTTTAGTGTCCCCTGGTCTCCCGGCTGTGTGCGTCACTCTTTAGTGTCCCCTGGTCTCCCAGCTGTGTGCGTCACTCTTTAGTGTCCCCTGGTCTCCAGCTGTGTGCGTCACTCTTTAGTGTCCCCTGGTCTCCCGGCTGTGTGCGTCACTCTTTAGTGTCCCCTGGTCTCCCAGCTGTGTGCGTCACTCTTTAGTGCCCCCTGGTCTCCCGGCTGTGTGCGTCACTCTTTAGTGTCCCCTGGTCTCCCAGCTGTGTGCGTCACTCTTTAGTGTCCCCTGGTCTCCCGGCTGTGTGCGTCACTCTTTAGTGTCCCCTGGTCTCCCAGCTGTGTGCGTCACTCTTTAGTGTCCCCTGGTCTCCCGGCTGTGTGCGTCACTCTTTAGTGTCCCCTGGTCTCCAGCTGTGTGCGTCACTCTTTAGTGTCCCCTGGTCTCCCGGCTGTGTGCGTCACTCTTTAGTGTCCCCTGGTCTCCCAGCTGTGTGCGTCACTCTTTAGTGTCCCCTGGTCTCCAGCTGTGTGCGTCACTCTTTAGTGTCCCCTGGTCTCCCGGCTGTGTGCGTCACTCTTTAGTGTCCCCTGGTCTCCCAGCTGTGTGCGTCACTCTTTAGTGTCCCCTGGTCTCCCGGCTCTGTGCGTTGTTGCTGGATGTTCTCTAAACGCTGCACGTGTTGTTGCTGGAGATGTTTCTTCATGAGGAACATTTGTGTTTTTATATCTGCATCCTTTCTGAAGCTGTTTCTCCTGATGGAGAAGGTTAGCACCCGTTAGCACCCGTTAGCCTCCGTACACCTGAAGCGTATCACGTGATGTAATATAGAGCTAGCTAACATTAGCTGTTTGCAGCCGCTAAAATAAGACCATCGTGGTGCGTTTAAGATCTACTCTGTAAAAAAGAGGTTTAGGCGAGGGGTTTATTTTAACGTAATCATGATGCGTTCAAATGTCATCGAGTGTAGTTGTTGTAACTTCCCGTTTGACTTAGAAGGCAGAAAGCTAGCAGCGATGAAGCGATGTTAGCTTTTCTGTTCCACCGTGAGATCAGGATGAGTGTGTGTTCTCTGTGTGTGTGTGTGTGTGTGTGTGTGTGTGTGTGTGTGTGTGTGTGTGTGTGTGTGTGTGTGTTTGTGTACGCTCTGTGTGTGTGTTCGTGTTGTGTGTAAATGGATTACGCTGAGTTAACCTTCCTCAATTTAATCCTCCGTCCTCAGACTGTGTCGCAGCTAACACAGAGAGTTTACACTGTGTGTGTGTGTGTGTGTGTGTGTGTGTGTGTGTGTGTGTGTGTGTGTGTTTAGAGGTTGATCTGAATTCCAGCGGCTGATCCGGATCACGTCTCCAAGTCAAACACTGAAACTCTTTGTGACAAACATCACAAACCTCTCCTTTACTTTAAAATAAATTATACAATACCCACAGGAGCAATTTGGGGTGAAGTGTCTCAGGGGCACAACGACATGCTGACTGCAGTGGGGTTTGAACCTGTGCTCCCCTGATCCCAACACCAACAAACTACCCACTGCACCACATGCCAATATTATAATACTGAACATGCTGTGTGTGTGTGTGTGTGTGTGTGTGTGTGTGTGTGTGTGTGTGTGTGTGTGTGTGTGTGTGTGTGTGTGTGTGTGTGTGTGTGTGTGTGTGTGTGTGTGTGTGTGTGTGTGTGTGTGTGTGTGTGTGTGTGTGTGTGTGTGTGTGTGTGTGTGTGTGTGTACTCTGCCCTCTCTCTGACTGATAGCAGCTTCTGATTGGAGCTAAATATTTACATGTTCTGCATGTCTCTGTGTGGGGGAGGCTCACACACTCTCTCTCACACACACACACACACACAGAGATTAGGGGGTCGGGGGTCTTGACTCTCAAAATGTCTCTGACATAAACACAGAGGATCGGGGGGGGGTTCTGTGGGAAGATACAACAGATATGTTATGTATTGATGCTTTCTAACCCTGATGCATTGTGGGTAACTCCGAGCTTTACAGACACTGCAGGAAACTGTCAACATATAAATAATAATACCAATAAGTAATCACATTATTGTTACATTACAACAAATTACTACCAGGGTTATAATGTTAAAATACATTTAAACTGTTATTTTGGTGCAGTTTGTGGAGACCGGATTTATTATGTTCTCTTGATTGTAACAGTTAAAGGTGGGGTAGGTCATTTTGGAGAAACCAGCTCGAGTGCGCTAGAATTAGAAAATTCACAGCCGGAAAAAATCTGCCACTTCCTCACAGAGCCCCTCCTCCAACACACACGAACGCGCTCATGACCAATGAGGGCACGAGATCAGTTTGTGCCCAGATGGAAGGCTGACAGGCAGGTAGGCCATCCAGTTACTTTAGCCGGCTCAGATGATTGGTCGTGCTTTTCACAGCGCCACGGCTTCAAAGCACTTCAGATATTCATTGCTATCGGGACGTTAAGAGCATTCCATGCAATATAAAAACAAGTGTATCTCGAGCCGGTTTCTCAAACGTACCTACCCCACCTTTAATCCAATGTGTGTGTGTGTGTGTGTCAGTGGAGTGCAGTGATGGTGTGTTCAGGGAGCGCTCTGGAGTTCTGAGCTCTGTAGATTTCCCCTCTCCGTACCCTAAGAGCTCCGACTGCTCCCTGAGGATCCAGGTGCCGCCGGGCTTCAGGCTCCGCCTCCACTTCCACTCCCACTTCGACATCGAGGACCACCCCGAGGTCAGCTGTCCTTATGACCAGCTGAGGGTGAGACACACACACACACACTTTATCCTGAGGTTCCTGTAGACACACAGCACACAAACGTCTGTCTAAAAGCAGTAACTGAACAGGAAGTGAATATTATGGGATGTCAGGTGGTGTCTGGCAGTAACAGTGAATATTATGGGATGTCAGGTGGTGTCTGGCAGCAGGACGTTCGGTCCATTCTGCGGGACTCGAGCTCCAGACGACATCGAGACTGACGGACACGAGGCGACGGTGATGTTCCACAGCGACGACTCAGGGGAGAACGTGGGCTGGAGACTGACCTACACAACTATAGGTAATTATACACACTAATACACAACTACAGGTACTAATACACACTACTCCAGCGACGACTCAGGAGGGAACCTGGGCTGGAGACTGTTGTGTTGGTCACTCTGCAGGGACAGCAGGGGGCCATCCTCTCCTACTCTATCGGTGCAGTAATCAGCAAAGCATTCTCCGTGTCTTCTCCACACTGTGACCCTACCATCCAAGTGCTGTAGGCAATATATTGTTTTGTTTACAATTAATTGATATATATTAGCTGTACACTTTACTAATATAACAGTTTCTTATGGACAACTACATCCAGGACATGGTTAAACCGTACACCCCAGCGCGTGCACTACGCTCTGCATCAGCCAAACGACTCGCTGCACCCTCGCTGCGAGGGGGACCCAAGTTCCCATCAGCAGAAACACGTGGGTTTGCTGTCCTGGCTCCAAGATGGTGGAATGAGCTCCCCATTGACATCAGGACGGCAGATAGCTTGCACATCTTCCAGACTGAAAACTCATCTCTTTCGACTCCACTTCGAGCATTAGAACTATTAACGAAGCACTTTTATACTAATAAAGGACTGGCTTACCTAAAGCCAGTTGAGTAGCACTTGAAATGTTTGGCTCTATGAAACCTGATGTACTTTATGATTCTGTTTTCTTCAAGGTTGTGTCTTCCTGGTCGAATGTACTTATTGTAAGTTGCTTTGGACAAAAGCGTCAGCTAAATGCAATGTAATGTAATGTAACAACTTTACTATTAAATCCCATCCAATTAATCTTAAAGCCCATCCCTGGAGTCTGGTCCGGTCTCCTGTTGATCCTCCTGGTCAGCTCCATTATCAACAGGCCTGTAGAGCGAGCAATCATCAGTGAATAACCGCATGAAGCACTGACATAGCACAGGAGGAGCAGTGGGCCCAGCACAGAGCCCTGTGGGACACCAGAGCCCTGTGAGCCCAGCACAGAGTCCTGTGGGACACCAGAGCCCTGTGGGACACCAGAGCTCTGTGGGACACCAGAGCTCTGTGGGCCCAGCACAGAGTCCTGTGGGACACCAGAGCCCAGTAGTAGTAACAATGCCCCTTCAATCACATTAGTATGTAGTAAGTAGGGAGAGGTGTAACCTGTCACACCACCTGTCACTTTTCTTGCATACTAATATGATTGAAGGGGCATTGTTACTACTACTGAGCCCTGTGGGCCCACCACAGAGTCCTGTGGGACACCAGAGCCCTGTGGGACACCAGAGTCTGGACACTGTACTATACACTAATACCCGTATATAGGTAGAAGTACACACTGTACACACAGCAGTGAGCCGCCGCTTTCATTTAGGGCTTTTATTTTGTTGTGACAGGAAGTACGTGTGCGGCACCTGAAGCCCCACCCCATGCCCTGCTGACCCCCGTCCAATCAGAATACTCGTTCAAAGACCACATCCTGTTCACCTGCTCAACTGGATTCACTCTGCTGCAGGTACTGCGTCTTATTCTGAAAAACCAGCGAGTCACTTCCTACGATCTCAGAGCTGTGATTTAATGTGTGTGTGTGTGTGTGTGTGTGTGTGTGTGTGTGTGTGTGTGTGTGTGTGTGTGTGTGTGTGTGTGTGTGTAGGATGGAGAGGCTCTGGATCATCTTCAGATCGTCTGTCAGTCTGACGGCTCGTGGAGCAGCAGCCCTCCCCGCTGCCAGAGTGAGTATTCATTATATATTACTATCATGTTGTGTAAAGTATGTAATATGTATAGTATAAATCAGGGGTCGGCGTGCCAATGGTGGCACGCGAATAAGTGTGCAAAATATTTAAATTGTGTTTTCGGATCCTGAACGAGACCGCCGCCAGAGCGCGTCTCCCTGTCACCTGCAGAAGGTGTTACGACTGAATAAACGGGTTTGAACTCAAATGCACAACACTCACACAGGTTTTTAACAAAAAAAACACTAACGAAACAAAATCACTTCAATGAGGAAAAACACTAGGAGCATGAATATACTTAGACAAGACGTGGCTCAAAGCTCTGCTTGGGATTCTTTCTGGCATGATACGCTGGTAGACTGTCACAAGAAACTAAATGAACTGGCACAGGACAAAGGGAGACAAGGACAATAAATACACCAGGTAATGTGGAACAGGTGGAAACAATCAGGGGCGTGGTCGACAATCACAGGAGTGGGGGTCACACAAGGAAGGGAGGTCAGAGTATCTGAAAGAGAGGAAAGGTTACTATTCAAAATTAAAGGGGAAAATCACTAGACAAAGATAAAAACAACATCATTTGCGAGAGATGACAGTACTCTCCCCTCTAGGGCCGACTCCTGACGGCCCAGGAACTTGAGGGTGCTGGCGAAAAAAGTCATTAATGAGAGTTTGATCCTCGACAAATCTTGATGGGATCCAGGAGCGTTCCTCTGGTCATTAACCCTCCCAGTCAACCAGAAACTGTCTCCCTTTGCCTCTGTTCCGGACCGCCAACAGGCGCTTGACCGTATAGACCAGGCTGCCGTCGAGCTTTCGGGGGGGTGGAGGGGGTTTGGCTGCGGGAACCATGGGGCTTTCCTTTACCGGCTTCAGTTGTCCCACATGGAAAGTGGGATGAACCCTCAGAGCCTTGGGGAGACGAAGGCGGACAGAGACAGGGTTTATTACTTTGGTCACTGGGAATGGGCCTACGAACCTAGGTGCCAATTTTCGTGACACCACATGAAGGGGAAGATCCCTGGTAGAGAGCCAGACCCTCTGGCCGGGCCTGTACTCTGGAGCTGGCCGACGCTTCCGATCTGCCGCCACCTTCATGCATTCCCCACTCCTTAGAAGAGCCCTGCGGGTGGCGGACCAGATCCGGTGACAAAGCCGAACCAGGGCGTGGGTTGACGGGACTGTGACTTCCTTCTCGAGATCCGCGAAGGTAGGAGGTTGATACCCATAGGCAGCCTGGAAGGGAGTCAACCCAGTAGGGGCCGTGGGGAGCGGGTTGTGGGCGTACTCTACCCATGTGAGATGCCTGCTCCAGGAGGTAGGGTTCTGGGAGATGAGGCAGCGAAGCCCAGTCTCTAATTCCTGATTAAGACGTTCGGTCTGGCCATTGGACTCCGGATGGTAGCCGGATGACAGGCTCACTGATGCCCCGATGAGGTTGCAGAACTCCCTCCAGAAGCGTGAGATGAACTGCGGACCCCGGTCTGAGACAATATCTTTGGGGAAATCATGGATACAGAACACATGAGTCATCATGATCTCCGTCATCTCTTTGGCAGACGGCAGCTTGGGTAAGGCAATATAATGAACCATCTTAGAAAAACGGTCCACCACTGTGAGTACGGTGGTGTTACCTTCTGACATCGGGAGCCCAGTGACGAAATCCACGGAAATCTCAGACCAGGGCCGGCTGGGAACCGGGAGCGGCCGGAGCAGCCCCATCTGTGCCCTGGAGGATGTCTTGTTGCGGGCGCAGACAGGACAGGCCTCCACATACTCCCGGACCTCACGCTCCATGGATCTCCACCAAAAACGTTGCTTGATAAAGAATATGGTCCTCTTGACCCCAGGATGGCAGGTGAGCAGCGATGAGTGAGCCCAATGGACGACCTGTGGACGTCCAGTAACAGGCACAAACAGACGGTTTGGCGGACAACCACTAGGTGCCGGGCTCTCACCGTTAGCTTGCTTCACCACAGATTCTATTTGCCAAGTGACCACCCCTACCACACGGTTCAGTGGGAGGATGGATTCAGGCTTCTTGGCAACCGGCTCGGGGTCAAACAAACGGGACAGGTCATCCGGCTTAGCGTTCTGGGACCCCGGCCTGTAAGACAGAGTGAAGTTAAAACGGTTAAAAAACAGAGACCATCTTGATTGGCGAGAATTTAGTCTTTTAGCCTTCCTAATGTACTCGAGATTCTTGTGGTCGGTCCATACTATAAAAGAGAGCTGAGCCCCCTCCAACCAATGTCTCCATTCCTCCAGAGCAATCTTTACCGCCAACATCTCACGGTTCCCCATGTCGTAGTTCCGCTCTGCAGAGGAGAGTTTCTTGGAGAGAAAGGCGCAGGGATGAAGTTTGTTGTCTTCCTTGGACCGCTGCGACAGGACAGCCCCCAACCCTTCATTTGAGGCATCAACCTCTACCACGAACTGACGAGTTGGGTCGGAGACGATGAGGATGGGGGCTGCTGAGGATGGGGAGGTGAACCTCTCCTTGAGACGGCGGAAAGCCTCCTCGGCCTGAGGAGACCACACAGAAGGCACCTGAGGGGACGTGAGAACATGAAGGGGAGAAGCAATGGCGCTGAAACTTCTGATGAAGCGCCTGTAAAAGTTTGCAAAGCCCAGAAAACGTTGCACCCCCTTGCGGTTGTCTGGCGTAGGCCACTTAGTCACCGCACTGATTTTGGCCGGGTCCATCTGGATCAGACCAGGAGCTATGATAAACCCTAGGAAGGATACAGTCTTAGCATGAAACTCACATTTCTCTGCCTTCACATACAGTTTGTTCTCCAGGAGTTTTTGGAGGACCTGACGTACATGGTGAACATGAGAGTCTTTGTCAGGTGAGTATATTAAAATATCGTCAAGATATACAAACACAAAACGGTTTAAAAACTCCCTTAAAACATCGTTAATGAGTGCTTGAAAAACTCCTGGAGCATTGGTGAGACCAAATGGCATGACGAGATACTCATAGTGCCCTGTGGATGTGTTAAAACCGGTCTTCCACTCATCCCCCTCACAAATTCTGGTAGGCATTACGCAAGTCTAACTTGGTAAAAATGTTAGAGTCTTGAAGTTGTTCAAAAGCAGTAGCCATGAGGGGGAGCGGATACCTGTTCTTAACCGTAATGTCATTTAAAGGAGAATAATCAATGCATGGCCTAAGGGATCCGTCCTTTTTTCCCACAAAGAAAAAACCCGCCCCAGCCAGGGAGGAAGACGGGCGGATCAGACCTACACGAAGAGAGGTGTCAATGTACTCCTTCATAGCCTCCTTCTCAGGACCCGAGATGGAGTATAACCTACCCTTCGGAATTGGAGCCCCAGGTAACAGATTGATGGCACAATCATATGGCCTATGAGGAGGAAGGGAGGTGGCGCTCACTTTACAAAATACCTTGGCCAGGTCATCGTAACAGGGAGGAACAGAAGTTAAATCTGGGGGTTGAGTCTTGCGGTCCAGGCTAAGTTGAGTATTAGTAACCCGATCGGTACTACGTTCCCCAGAAACCCTTTCTACTGCCATGTTTCCCACACACTTAAAACAATCCTGTGAACACTCCGGCCCCCACCCCTTAATTTTACCTGACCGCCAATCAACATAGGGGTTATGCTTGGTTAGCCAGGGAAAACCTAGGATGAGAGGATGTTGAGCAGAATTAAACAGGTGAAACGACATGAGTTCACAATGTTCATCAATCATGATAGTGACGGGTTCGGTCTTGTGTGTGACATGAAATAGAAGTTCGCCATCCAGAGCACTGGCTTTCAAAGGGGAGGCCAAAAGTTCAGTTTTAAGTCTCAGTTCATGAGCTAATCCCCAATCCATCAGGCTTTCGTCAGTCCCAGAGTCAATTAACACTCTTTGAGAGTTACTTTTTCCATGGCAGATTACCTTTATGTTGGTCAACTTGCGGGGAGGAGAGTCTGCTGTAGAAAGACGGCTCACCAGTGCCCTCCCTTTCCCTGGTGAGCCCCGTCTTTTACTGGGCATCCAGAGAGAAGATGACCTTGTTGGCTGCAGTAAAAACATCTTCCCTCCAGCCGCTCCTCTGTAGACAGCTTGGCACCTCCCAGCTGCATTGGCTCCTCAGCTTTGTTGGGGGACGCTGACCTCTGGGATGGAAGGAAAGAGGAACGTGGCATGGCAGTCTCCTGAGAGTGAGAAGAGTAGGGGTGCCCTCTAGGGTGGGAATAGGGTAGTGCAGCCCTATCCTTCTCCCGTTTCCTCTCAGCAAGTCTGTTATCAATCTTTATGGACATGGCAATGACAGAGTCTAGTTCCACAGGCAGCTCCAATGGCGCCAGCTGATCCTTAATAGGGTCCGAAAGTCCATTAATAAAGGCATCAAACAAAGCAGAACTATTCCAGCCACTATCGGCCGCAATGGTGCAAAATTCCACTGCGTAGTCTGACACACTGCGTCTTCCTTGACTTAACTTGTAAAGGACCCGAGCTGCTTCTCTGCCTGGGGACGTGTGGTCAAAAATGTTCGTCAGGGAGTCTGTAAACTGTCCCAAAGACTCTCATATCGGCGAGTCACGTGACCATTCAGCCGTAGCCCACGCCACCGCTCGTCCGGTGAGATGGGAAATCATAAAAGCCACCTTGGATCTCTCCGTGAGAAAGGCTGTCGGAAGTTGACTATAATGTAGGCTGCAATTCACCAGAAAGGGACGGCAGTCATGGGATTACATTACATTACATTACATTACATTGCATTTAGCTGACGCTTTTATCCAAAGCGACTTACAATAAGTACATTCGACCAGGAAGACACAACCTTGAAGAAAACAGAATCATAAAGTACATCAGGCTTCATAGAGCCAAACATTTCAAGTGCTACTCAACTGGCTTTAGGTAAGCCAGTCCTTTATTAGTATATAAGTGCTTTGTTAATAAATCTATCGCTCGAAGTGGAGTCGAAAGAGATGAGTTTTCAGTTTGCGCCGGAAGATGTGCAAGCTATCTGCTGTCCTGATGTCAATGGGGAGCTCATTCCACCATCTTGGAGCCAGGATAGCAAACCCACGTGTTTTTGCTGATGGGAACTTGGATCCCCCTCGCAGCGAGGGTGCAGCGAGTCGTTTGGCTGATGCAGAGCGTAGTGCATGCGCTGGGGTGTACGGTTTAACCATGTCCTGGATGTACGAAGGGCCAGATCCATTCGCAGCATGGTAAGCAAGTACCAGTGTCTTGAAGTGGATTCTAGCAGTTACCGGAAGCCAGTGAAGGGAGCGGAGGAGCGGCGTGGTGTGGGAACATTTAGGAAGGTTGAAGACCAGACGAGCCGCTGCATTCTGGATGAGCTGCAGAGGTCGGATGGCACATGCAGGTAGACCAGCCAGGAGGGAGTTGCAGTAGTCTAGGCGTGAGATGACGAGAGCCTGGACCAGAACCTGAGTGGCTTTCTGGGTCAGCTGGGGACGTATCTTCCTGATGTTTAAAAGCGTGTATCTGCAGCAACGGGTTGTAGCAGCGATGTTTGCAGTGAAGGACAGGTTGTTATCTAGGGTCACACCCAGATTCCTTGCAGTCTGAGTCGGGGAAACAACTGAGGTGCCGATGTTGATTGTAAGGTCAAGAGTGGGACAATCTTTTCCCGGGAGGAAGAGCAGCTCAGTCTTGTCAAGGTTGAGCTTGAGGTGATGAGCAGACATCCACTGAGAGATGTCAGCTAGACAAGCAGAGATGCGTGCGACGACCTGGGTCTCTGAGCGGGGAAAGGACAGAATTCATTGGGTGTCGTCAGCGTTGCAGTGGTATGAAAAACCATGCGGGCTAATGACTGATCCGAGCGAGTTTGTGTACAGGGAGAAGAGGAGGGGACCAAGAATAGAGCCCTGAGGGACCCCTGTAGTTAATTGACAAGGGTCGGACTCAGACCCTCTCCAAGTCATCCTGTAGGTGCGGTCTTTGAGGTATGAGGTGAGGAGGGAAAGTGCAGAGCCTGAAACTCCAAGTTTTTGGAGAGTGCGAAGGAGGATCTGATGATTCACCGTGTCGAATGCAGCAGACAGGTCCAATAGGATGATGACAGAGGAGAGGGATGCTATTTTGGCAGTGTGCAGTTCCTCAGTGACAGCAAGGAGGGCAGTTTCTGTGGAGTGACCTGCCTTGAAACCAGACTGGTGCGGATTCCCCGGAAAACTTCTCAGGCGGAGCCAGGCGGATTGACACGGTGTGGGAAGCGGGCGCCGGGTCCGCATTCGCTTCGGGTCCGGCTGGGGGTGGGGGTGAGAGCTCAGCCTTGAGGTGAGTGAGCAGGTGGTGAACCTGTCCCTCCAGGTGGTTAATCTGGTTTGTTACAGATGACTCAAACTCCCTCTGGATGTCTGTGACGTGCGATACTCCCTGCTGGATGGCCGTTAACTGATCCTCCTGTTGAGCGAGGCGGCCTCCCTGAGAGCGAAGCGCTGCTTTCAGCTGTTCAGAGTCGGCTGAGTTCATGTTTGGGCCAGTTCGTACTGTTACGACTGAATAAACGGGTTTGAACTCAAATGCACGACTCACACAGGTTTTTAACAAAAAAGGTTTTATTCAGACCAAAGCTCAACGACAGTGGTAAACAAAAACTAAATCACTCTTAACGAGGAAAAACAGTTTCAAAACAAAGTCACTCTTAATGAGGAAAAAACACTAACAAAACAAAATCACTTCAATGAAGAAAAACACTAGGAGCACGAATATATGAATACTTAGACAAGACGTGGCTCAAAGCTCTGCTTGGGATTCTTTCTGGCATGATACGCTGGTAGACTGTCACAAGAAACGAAACAAACTGGCACAGGACAAAGGGAGACAAGGACAATAAATACACCAGGTAATGTGGAACAGGTGGAAACAATCAGGGGCGTGGTCGACAATCACAGGAGTGGGAGACACACAAGGAAGGGAGGTCAGAGTATCTGAAAGAGAGGAAAGGTTACTATTCAAAATTAAAGGGGAAAATCACTAGACAAAGACAAAAACACTTAACTAAACTAACATAATTTGCGAGAGATGACAGAAGGAAGCCATGCATGCAACGCGGCCCCGCTCTCTTTAACTCCAGTCGACTTTCTGCTGCTTTCCTCCGTGGTGAAACGATCAGGGGTGAAGTGCTGCCAGAGCGCGCCCACACTTCATAAATTGCAGTACCCATAAGGAGCTGTACAAATGCCGCAGTTTTTGCGTGGCTATGTCTTTAGTTGAAAGCCCAGTGGCGATCTGCTCATTTCTCATCGAACATAATATGCTACACGGGGCGGACTGGTCATGTCTGTGTTCTGGAGAATCACAGAATGGATGGTCGTCATTATTATTATGCCGTTTAAACCAATTATTTAAATGTGTTCAAACGGCATCATGTAAGTTGTGCTGACAGGTGAAAGAGGTCCACACACTGCTTCCCCGCAGCGAGGCTCCCCCGCCCGCCCTGTTGACAGTTCACGAGCGTCGAGCTCTTCCCCCCGATGTTGACAGTTCACGAGGGTCGAGCTATTCCCCCTGATGTTGACAGTTCACGAGCGTCGAGCTCTTCCCCCCCCCTGTTGACAGTTCACGAGCGTCGAGCTCTTCCCCCCCCCTGTTGACAGTTCACGAGCGTCAAGCTCTTCCCCCCCTGTTGACAGTTCACGATCATCCGGCTCTTCACCCCCCCCCTGTTGACAGTTCACGAGCGTCGAGCTCTTCCCCCCCCCTTGTTGACAGTTCACGATCGTCGAGCTCTTCCCCCCCTTGTTGACAGTTCATGATCATCGGGCTCTTCCCCCCCCCCTGTTGACAGTTCACAAGCGTCGAGCTCTTCCCCCCCCTGTTGACAGTTCACGATCGTCGAGCTCTTCCCCCCCTTGTTGACAGTTCACGATCGTCGGGCTCTTCCCCCCCCCTGTTGACAGTTCACGAGCGTCGAGCCCTTCCCCCCCTGTTGACAGTTCACGATCGTCGAGCTCTTCCCCCCCCCCTGTTGACAGTTCACGATTGTCGAGCTCTTCCCCCCCCCCTTGTTGACAGTTCACGATCGTCGGGCTCTCCCCCCCCCCTGTTGACAGTTCATGAGCGTCGAGCCCTTCCCCCCCCCTTGTTGACAGTTCACGATCGTCGGGCTCTTCCCCCCCCTATTGACAGTTCACGAGCGTCGAGCTCTTCCCCCCCCTGTTGACAGTTCACGATCGTCGAGCTCTTCCCCTCCCTTGTTGACAGTTCACGATCGTCGGGCTCTTCCCCCCCCCCTGTTGACAGTTCACGAGCGTCGAGCTCTCCCCCCCCCTGTTGACAGTTCACGAGCGTCGAGCCCTTCCCCCCCTGTTGACAGTTCACGATCGTCGAGCTCTGCCCCCCCCCCCTTGTTGACAGTTCACGATCGTCGGGCTCTTCCCCCCCCCTTGTTGACAGTTCACGATCGTCAGGCTCTTCCCCCCCCTGTTGACAGTTCACGATCGTCGGGCTCTTCCCCCTCCCTGTTGACAGTTCACGAACGCCGAGCTCTTCTCCCCCCTGTTGACAGTTCACGAGTGTCAAGCTCTCCCCCCCCCCCCTGATTTGTAGTATAAAGTATGTAGTACAAAGTATTTAGTATGAAGTATGAAGTACAAAGTATTATTCATACTTTAAAGCGTTGTTCTTTTCTCTGTAGATACTGGGAGGAGGAGGAGGCGGGCTTTGTCCAGCATCTTAACCAATCACAGTCAAGATTGATTCCTATCGGCCGATAGAGAAACTGCAGTTAGTCTAAAATGAATTTGAATAAAACAGATAAAAGGAATCTGCAGTGTTGAGTTTCTGTCATACTTTTACATATATTAATACACACTTTATTTAGAATAATAATACAAAGTATGTAGTACGTAGTTTAAAGTATGTAGTACGTAGTATAAAGTATGTAGTATGTAGTATGTATAGTGCAGATGAGAGGATATGCAGTGTTGTGTTTCTGTCATAATGTTACATATATTAATACACAGAGTCCAGCTGACACACTTTATTAAATATACTAAATAACATCAGAAATCATCTCTCTCAGGATTCATTGTTCTATACGCTGACAGCTGATTGGTCCTCTCTCTATACGCTGACAGCTGATTGGTCCTCTCTCTATACGCTACACTGACAGCTGATTGGTCCTCTCTCTATACACTGACAGCTGATTGGTCCTCTCTCTATACGCTGACAGCTGATTGGTCCTCTCTCTATACGCTGACAGCTGATTGGTCCTCTCTCTATACGCTACACTGACAGCTGATTGGTCCTTTCTCTATACGCTGACAGCTGATTGGTCCTCTCTCTATACACTGACAGCTGATTGGTCCTCTCTCTATACGCTGACAGCTGATTGGTCCTTTCTCTATACGATGACAGCTGATTGGTCCTCTCTCTATACGCTGACAGCTGATTGGTCCTTTCTCTATACGCTGACAGCTGATTGGTCCTCTCTCTATACGCTGACAGCTGATTGGTCCTTTCTCTATACGCTACACTGACAGCTGATTGGTCCTCTCTCTATACACTGACAGCTGATTGGTCCTCTCTCTATACGCTGACAGCTGATTGGTCCTCTCTCTATACGCTGACAGCTGATTGGTCCTCTCTCTAACAGCTGATTGGTCCTTTCTCTATACGATGACAGCTGATTGGTCCTCTCTCTATACGCTGACAGCTGATTGGTCCTTTCTCTATACGCTGACAGCTGATTGGTCCTCTCTCTATACACTGACAGCTGATTGGTCCTCTCTCTATACGCTACACTGACAGCTGATTGGTCCTGTCTCTATACGCTGACAGCTGATTGGTCCTCTCTCTATACACTACACTGACAGCTGATTGGTCCTCTCTCTCACAGTGGTGGATTGTGGGACTCCACATGCGGTTGCCATGGCCGACCTGGTGTTTGGTAGTCATGACAACAGCACAGTGTTTGGATCCACGGTTTCCTACCTCTGCCGCGAGGACGCCGTCCGGCTGGACCCTAGCAACAGTAACTATGATGTGTTTACTAGTAAATAAGTCATCATATGGTAACTAAACTAGTCAGCAAGTCATCATATAGTAAAACTAAACTAGTCAACAAGTCATCATATAGTAAAACTAGTCAACAAGTCATTGTAAAGCTAAACTAGTAAACAAGTCATCATATAGTAAAACTAGTAAATAAGTCATCATATAATAAAACTAGTAAACAAGTCATCACATAGTAAAACTAGTAAACAAGCCATCATGTAGTAAAACTAGTAAACAAGTCATCATATAGTAAAACTAGGAAACAAGTCATCATATAGTAAAACTAGTAAACAAATCATCATATAATAAAACTAGTAAACAAGTCAACATGTAGTAAAACTAGTAAACAAGTCAACATGTAGTAAAACTAGTAAACAAGTCATCATATAATAAAACTAGTAAACAAGTCATCATATACTAAAACTAGTCAACAAGTCATCATATAATAAAACTAGTAAACAAGTCAACATGTAGTAAAACTAGTAAACAAGTCATCATGTAGTAAAACTAGTAAACAAGTCATCATGTAGTAAAACTAGTAAACAAGTCATCATGTAGTAAAACTAGTAAACAAGTCATCATGTAGTAAAACTAGTAAACAAGTCATCATGTAGTAAAACTAGTAAACAAGTCATCATATAGTAAAACTAGTAAACAAGTCATCAATTAGTCAAACTAGTAAACAAGTAATCAATTAGTCAAATTAGTAAACAAGTCATAAATAAGTCAAACTAGTAAACAAGTCATCAATTAGTCAAACTAGTAAACAAGTCATCAATTAGTCAAACTAGTAAACAAGTCATCAATTAGTAAAACTAGTAAACAAGTCATCATGTAGTAAAACTAGTAAACAAGTCATCATGTAGTAAAACTAGTAAACAAGTCATCAATTAGTCAAACTAGTAAACAAGTCATCGTGTAGTAAAACTAGTAAACAAGTCATCATGTAGTAAAACTAGTAAACAAGTCATCATATAGTAAAACTAGTAAACAAGTCATCAATTAGTCAAACTAGTAAACAAGTCATCAATTAGTCAAATTAGTAAACAAGTCATAAATTAGTCAAAATAGTAAACAAGTCATCAATTAGTCAAACTAGTAAACAAGTCATCAAATAGTCAAACTAGTAAACAAGTCATCATGTAGTAAAACTAGTAAACAAGTCATCATATAGTAAAATTAGTAAACAAGTCATCGTATAGTAAAATTTGTAAACAAGTCATCATATAATAAAACTAGTAAACAAGTCATCAATTAGTCAAACTAGTAAACAAGTCATCAATTAGTCAAACTAGTAAACAAGTCATCATGTAGTAAAACTAGTAAACAAGTCATCGTATAGTAAAACTAGTAAACAAGTCATCAATTAGTCAAACTAGTAAACAAGTCATCATGTAGTAAAACAAGTCATTCTATAGTAAAACTAGTAAACAAGTCATCAATTAGTCAAACTAGTAAACAAGTCATCAATTAGTCAAACTAGTAAACAAGTCATCAATTAGTCAAACTAGTAAACAAGTCATCATGTAGTAAAACTATTAAACAAGTCATCATGTAGTAAAACTAGTAAACAAGTCATCATATAGTAAAACTAGTAAACAAGTCATCAATTAGTCAAACTAGTAAACAAGTCATCATATAGTCAAACTAGTAAACAAGTCATTAATTAGTCAAACTAGTAAACAAGTCATCAATTAGTCAAACTAGTAAACAAGTCATCATGTAGTAAAACTAGTAAACAAGTCATCGTATTGTAAAACTAGTATACAAGTAATCAATTAGTCAAACTAGTAAACAAGTCATCGTATAGTAAAACTAGTAAACAAGTCATCAATTAGTCAAACTAGTAAACAAGTCATCATGTAGTAAAAATAGTAAACAAGTCATCCTATAGTAAAACTAGTAAACAAGTAATCAATTAGTCAAACTAGTAAACAAGTCATCAATTAGTCAAACTAGTAAAAGAGTCATCATGTAGTAAAACTAGTAAACAAGTCATCATATAGTAAACTAGTAAACAAGTCATCAATTAGTCAAACTAGTAAACAAGTCATCAATTAGTCAAATTAGTAAACAAGTCATAAATTAGTCAAACTAGTAAACAAGTCATCAATTAGTCAAACTAGTAACAATAAATTAGTCAAAA